CAACTCCACCGTCCTCAGAAAGCTGACTCCGTCATGCGGGCGGCGTGGGACATGGAGTCCGATTAACCCTGCTCCCGAGACGCATTTATATCCTGTGGATAATCAGACCGATCATTACCTATGGAAATGCACCGGCCTGATGATGAGTTACCGAAAACAAATGTTCGCCAACGGACTCTTCAATCGAGCTATGGGAATTTTCTAAGAAAAAATAAACGTCTACTCACTTACCGCGAGTAGTGTAGTTGCATGCAAGTTTGGCGACTGGTCATGTGGGTGCATGTGTGGTCGGTAATTGGGAAGTTTCATGCCCGTCGAGTGTGTACTTAAAGGAATGTGTCAGCTAACACGTTCTCCTCAAGAATGAAGGAGAGCATAAGTAAAAGTTCATTCGATTAAGATATATTTATCTCTCACTAATTACTGATCACCAGTAACCTTCTTTGAATTCCTTCGTGTAATCTGCATTCTTCTGGACTCATGTATTTTGCTATTACATACCACTCAGAGCAGTAGGTTCTACTGAACTGAAAAACGCTTATTCGGACTTCTTTTTAGCGGTTAGGACTATTTGCTTGCACACTGCTAAATGACGCACTGAGCGTATTCGAGTAATGCTTCAGTTATGTCCATAAAACTTCCAATTCATGTATCTCGTTTCACAGTAGTGGGGGAGGGGGGAGTGTGTGTGTAATCCCCCTAAAAATGCAATTCATTAAGACCCTAACACCAACCGTGGTCATGCCTTTAATGGGTAACCCTAATTCTTATCCTGTAAGCCTTTGGGAAAACTCGATCCCAACCGTAACCTTAACTGAAGCCCAAAAATTATAACCTTAACTCTAACCATGAAACTTTAACTCTAACCCCTTAACATAACCCTAACCCCAACACTTACTCGCAGACACTAACTCTGAGCTCCGACACTTACATCAATCCCAAATCTGAGCCGCAACCCAAGCCTGACAGCCGTAGCCTCAAGAATAGCCCAACTCTTTGCATCAACCCCCGCTCCCAATAGAGGTTATTTTGACGGTCACTCATAACGCATTCGTGTCTGACAAGGTAATATCGGCACATTTAAACAAACGATTACCTGCAAGTATTTTTACTGCACTTTAGGGCATGAAATCACTCTGATTTGTAAACCGGACTTAAAAACCGATAAAACTTTTGGTTCTTTTGCGTTTGCAACCAATTTTTCATGGTTTTCCTCTGTTGAAAATTAATCGGCAAGTCGGACATATAACGTTTGGTAAAACTTTAGTTGTATGGCCACCCTCCTTTCAAAGAAAAACTGCTCAGATAGGCAGACTAAATCTAGGTCAGCTATTGATGTGTGAAATTACCCGAATATACGTTAACGCAGATTGCTGCCCAAATTTATAAACGTTTTGCTTGAAGGCGACTGGACGAAGGAGCAAAGTGCGCAATGTTTCAGATGCCTGAAAAGCATCAAATCAGTTGCCGCCATCACGTTTAATGAGTTAAGTCATATACTGTTTGTGATCCAGGTCGTCAGACCCAAGGCGCCTACATAACAAATAGCTTGCGCTGTGTGGACATTCTTATTTGCCAGGGAGGATAGACAAAATAGGCACAAGGGGACTTTTCCACAATTTTATAAAGTTCTAAGGGCAGTTGCCACTATTGCTGCACCGCTTTTTGTGGACGATTTCGCAGAGCATCGGCAAGGAGTGTTTTCACGTTTCGTATGTGTTACCAATGTGAGACGAGCCGCCGTGACCTTCCGTTGGGACATGACTCACTTACAGATTCATCGTCCGTATTAGAACTACCGGCGTTAGCACGATCATAGCCTTCTAGTGACAAGACGTTGATTATGTGGACGTCGATGCCTGACCGAACCATCGGTTCCTGGACAGAATGGTTGGATCATTATTAAACCGCACTTCTTGCGTGCATTACGCTTGTAAGAGTATTACTTATGTCACAGCCTTAGTTATCCGCGATCATAGTGAAATGAAGTAACGCTCCTAATAGCATAAGTAATATTAACAGAATGTTATTACCGACAAAGATAAGGGAGAATGGAATGGCCATTTCTGGCTTATTTTCCCGTCGTCAGCCAGTCATACCCAACCCCGAAGTGTGGAACAGTCTCCCTTGTCTTTGTCGGTAATAACATTCTGCCTACATCATGCGTCACTGTGCGGCTCCTGGCTGGGCTCGAGAGAGAGCCTGTATGGCACAACGGAAAGAGTGAGTTCCGTAAGAACGATCGGTGAGCGCCCCTCTAACATAATCAATATTATTGCCTGCAGTTCAATTCATCCTGTTTTTAGTCAACTGTCAAAAATAACTAAAGTAGGTTTTTGCATACACTAGTTGATCGCTGCAGCTTTTCTTTGCAGAAAAAAAACTCCTGAGGATAGGCGTGGTTCACTACACGCATACGCAAATGAACAACGTCCATTGTTATTTCTTAGTGACGAATTTAACTTAAGATTTCCAGAATGAGCTTTTCTAAACTGTTATTTATTGCATATTTGCAGGTCCCCTTCAAACGGATGCTGCATCTCGGCTGCGTACAGACACCGAATAATTAATCATTTGATCGCTACTGTCGGCAGATCCTAGCCTTCCTCAACGTCCCTCTGCAAAATAACGCTCGCTTTATTCTCTTTTTTTTTTTTAAAAAAATGGACTCTTCAATAAACAAATTTAAATGAAACCCTCTCGGCATTGAAAACATTTCAAGGACCGTGCAAATGCATTTTGTTTTATTGTCTCTTGTTACTGGAAGTAGTTACAATTAGTAGGCAACCTCGGTCGGCTGGCGTGGGAGGGATAACACTAATCTGAGCGCCAGTGTCGACTACAAAATGCCTGCCACTCGGCCGCATTTACTCTCCGGCCAAGGAGTTTCCCTGCGTGGACTTGAAGGAGCAGGGTGGGACACAGCGCCGCGCCTTATCGCCATAGTTGACATGATACCAACATAGATTGGCGGTCCTGGGGCGAGAGCGGGAACGACGACGGTGACGGCCGAAGGAACGTCGAGAGGGACCGGGGGATCGGCGCAGCTGCAGAGCGGCAAAAGTCGCTGACAACTGGGCAATCTGTGTCTTTAGTTCAGTCAATTCAGAGGTGGACACGGTGAGAGGCTGGGACACCTGAGCAATGGTCGGGGATGACAAACGCTCAACCGCCATCATACGGTCAGCCATCTCCGCTAACTTTGATATGTCCAGGTCGTCGGAGCCAGAGGCCAAAGTTGTTTTTACCGACGTCGGCAGACGTTCTAAGAACATACCTTTAAAGGAATTATCGTCGATTTTCATGTTTCCAACCAGAGAACGCATACGACGCAAGAGTTCGACGGCTTGCGGTCACCTAAGGCCTCCTCTTTTATTAGCGCGTGACAACGCTGCCGATCAGGGACTTTCGTCAGGCGAAGAAGTTCAGCCTTTAACTTGGTGTACAGAGCATCAGTCGGAGGATCTCTCAAAAGCGTCTGCACTTGAGAATAAATGGTGGGATGAGGGGCCTTGACCAACTCATAATACTTGTCGGTTTCACGCGTTATCTTGGCGGAAAGAAAAGTCGCCTCAATGCGGAAAAATAAAGCTCTGGCGCATGTTGCCAAAATTCTGGGAGAGAAGAAACAAGTCCACTGAGTGAAGTAATGGCATCGTTGGAATTCGTAGAGGTCATGATGTTAGAAATAAGGACGGCAAACGGACTGTATGCAAATAGAAAGTCAACAAATTAAAGGTATAAGCGCGAACGTCAAAAGGTCACCACTGTCGAGGGCGTTAAAGGCAGAACCGACAATCCCAGACTATGAATATCAGGATAAGACCAGAGTTATGAAAGAATTAACAATCAGAAGTCGAACGACCTGACAATCCAACACATGCGAGGCGCGTCGCATAGCGTTGTGTTCCTTCCATTTAGTTAAACAACCAGTAAGTTCAAGAATGAGGAACAGGTAGGGAAAGGCAAGATAGTCTGGTGCCTCGGCACAAGCCGTTTACTTGAAAGCCGGCGTCCTGCGGTAACTGAGTTATTATAGAATTTTGCTGCAGGCTGATTGGTTCTACAGCCCAACTTAATTAATCTTTTCGAAACGAAAACGCGTTTCGTAATTTCTGTTGAGATTTCATGAGCTAGCTCACTTACTGTAGTTCAGTGGTATTTTTCGCCTTCTGTCGGAATAGTCAGGGGGCTTTATACTTGATTACTTGTAAAGCTGTCTACCGGACGTCCCGCTTTGTAAAGATAATTTTCCACTTAGTAGGTCAAATGGGTTGTTTGGTATCGCAAGTGCGCATCGCAGGTAAAAAGCGACCGCTGTCTTAAATTTCACTAACATTTCCTATAAAAAGACGAGAACGCAGTGGTCGAGAACTGTACGCCTAAATCGACCAGTCTTAGTGCATATTTTTTGACCAAGGCAAATTCAACTGTAAGTTGTCTTATCGAATTCGCTCTAAATTTTAATGTCAACATCCAAATCGGAGTTAAACTTGAGCGACCAAGTGTCAAAGCTTTGTATCAATAGGCCAAAGTTTCTGTCATTGCTTTAATTAGTCTACTATTCAGATTTCCGTGTTCTCTGGAGAGTGAATCCGTTACCATGAGATGATCGTTCATTAAATTGCACTTACTAGCTGACAACTAACTAACTTCCACTTGTTGGACTAGATGATGTGAGAAATCGCGGAGCCGAAGTCAGAGCTCTCATTGCAAATGAAAATACTCAGCAGGATACATTTTTCAGTTGAAAAGAATGCCGACGCAGACTCGAGAGCTTGAAATGGCAATTCAGGAGACATTTTATCCCGTCCATCTTGACCAAAACAGGGTCTATCTGGTTGGGAATGTAAGATAAACTAATTAATAGTTAAAATGTGAAGGGAAGTTTTTTCACCAGTCAACTTTCTTCCCCCCGGAACAAGGGACCCATAAATCTTAGATGCGTTTTCCAAGACAGCATGTGAGCAGCCGCGCTTTTACGGTGCATTAGGTTTATGCCTCTAGCTGGTAAAGTGAATGAAATCGTAATTACTACTTCTTTTTGATAACTGCAAGCTGCCACAATCCATACCCTCCTCCCAGCGATGCTGGCCCGTGCTCCTATGAGGTAAAGGGCAGTTTGACCAAACGATTGAGACCATTGAGCATTCATTCGGACTTCTCTGCATTACAGTTTTCTAACCAGACAATGGACCCGGTCATTCCAGACTCCAAAAGCATTCAGAGAGTGCAACATCCACCCGGACACAAAAGTCCGCAACCACGTCAGTGGATATCCTAGCAGCGGTTAATATGCACCCTCTTATGTACTGCCTCGGCAGCAAAGGCTGCTGGCGCTTACCATTTGTCCGCGCACGAAATTTTATGAAGTCACTGTTTTCTTTATTAATAAGCCCATAATCACTGTTTCCCCTACTTTTATATAAGGACAGGGGTCGGTTACACTGTCCTGGTCCCAACTGTAAGTGCAGTGTGAGCATTAAAATTAAAGTAAGCCGAAGGTGGATGCGGAAATCGGTAGTGGGAAAAGTGGCCGCGGCTGAAACGGAAAAGACAACCTGGTGTATGTCAAACCTGTTGCGAGACTGTAGGAAGCCTAGAATCCCCGCAAAGGACCCAGCTCACAGGACACGTGGGGCAGCACTTCCGAAAACCCAACGGTGAATCCAACCGTAACCTCAGAAGAAGACCTTATACTTAACGTAGTTATAAAACTAGCGCTGATCAAAAAATAAACACTAGACCTAACCCTAAACCCACCAAAACCCCAGCCATTAACTAAAGATTAGCCTTAACTCTGACCCTTGCCTTAACCTGAGCCAAACCCAAATAAACTTAATCATAACCCTGCCCTAACCCTGACCCCAACCTTAACCCTAAATGCAAACCTAAACCTCAGTCCAAATCCTAACTCTAATCGGAACCCTTAAAATTACCAGAAACCCTAATCCAAACCTAAATCCAAAATACTTACCTAAACCGCAAAACAAACCATACTTCTAAACCGAAACACCAGGTTGCCTTTTTCCGTTTAAGCTTCGACTATTTTTCCATTAACAATTTCAGCGTCCCTCTTCGGCTTAGTTTACCTACAATGCCCACATTACGCCTTCACTTGGGACCTGGATAGCGTGACTGACCGCTTCCTACAAAACTGTCAAAAGTCAACCAATTCTCTAACTATCTGTTGCCCCTTATAAATGAAATTTGCGAGGTGCGACTTCTGCCCAAATCTGCCATTTTCAAACCTAACATGACTTTGTCGTTCTTTCTAAAGTTATTAGGGTTAGAATGGGGGTGTTTTTCAAAGTTGGTTTTTGTGGGACTGTTGGAGCGTTAAGGGCCAACGCCTCCCCCATGGTTCAACAATTACCAGATCTGATAGCGTCTCACAATGTTTCTTGAAACCCCCCACTACACATATGCCACCCGTTTAGAATCGTCACATTGACCTCCCTTTTTGAAATCTAAGACGGCTGACATCGTGTCTTCTGTCAAAATCACGCCTAATCACTTTGGTTCTTAAGTACGTCCGCCTAATTGCCTCCTCATTCACCTTTTTTGGCGCTCACTGAACTCTCGTGCCTACCAAAGATATTCTCATCTACTTCTCAAATTTCGTCAACTTTACCTTATAGTCGCTCATTTTCTCCTTCTCACTAATATACTACCTAACGCGTCCCAGCCAGGCGCGGGAGTTGCCAGTAGCGTTATGCCTTAGAGCCGAGTCAATAGTCCTACAAGCAGTTGCAAACCGACTAGTATTCTATGCAGAATGAGATTATAGACGGGGACATAGGGGGCTGGAGTCGCCGCTTCTAGCCTAGTAGGCGTCATCAGTCAGCCATAAGGAATTTCAGGTTAGGGGCGCCATTGCGTCATGGCTTGATCGTCCTGTCATTCGTAGTTGAGACTATTAATATTGTTACATGGATGCTCAGCGATCCGTTGCGAGATCTGCTTGCTCCGCTGTGTTTGGGGTTCTATTTAGTGTCCTACAGGAAGCCCCACAGTTATTAGTATTATTTGTAGAATAAGACTACCATTGTTGCTGATAGAAGCGAACAGGCGAGTTCCAGGTAGCAGTTCAGAAGACGAAGATGTGACCACTGGAACAAAAAATTTATTGGCCTGACGCATCGGATTCTCACTCGAATCCATCATTAGAGACAGTCGCAGATAAGGGTAATGGTGACACACGGGGATTTCGAGAGCTGTTAGTTACAGTGCGCATATGGTCTCACGGCAGCTACGTGCTATAAATACTGCACTCCTTGTGTCACCATTACCCATATCTGCGACTGTCTCTGATGATGGATTCGAGTGAGAAGACGAAACGTCAGGCCAATAAATTTCTCGTTCCAGTGATCACATCTTCGTCTTCTGAACTACCATTGTTGATATACCCAATTGCAGCCTGCAAGAAGACGAGCTCGTGACTTGATGATTAGGCCACCGGACTAGTTACCAAGACGGCACGAGTTCGAGCGACTTGCGTAACCGGACCTGATGTTGAGTGCAGCTGGCTGATGAAGATAAAAGCGCAGTAATGATTATTTCAGTCCTCCCCGTCCATGTCGACAGCCACATTCTCCTTAAATAACTCTCACTACCCCCTTTCTCCTAAGTAGCAACTCTTGCATATTAATTTACACGCACAATTGTGCTTGTTTATTAATTAGACAGGGTGCATTTTTACCACTATTGGATACAAGGCTTGCTCAGGGTTTTTGGGGCTTATTCTAAGAAGCACATGGTAGTTATGCCAGTCGACTTTGTACTTAAACAAATAGATGATCATTAGTTTAGTTTGTTTAAGTCACGCAGCTCTCGTCTTGTGCTTTCGAAGTTTTTTTGCATCCCCAAATTTACAACATCAAATTCATCAAATCGCCCCTATTGGCAGCATATCGGTTGAGAAGCTGTGAAGAGGGAGTTTGGTTTACACCAAATACTAACGTAAATCCAAAATCTGTGTGTATTCATGTCTTGATGACCATTATTAGATGATCTCAATTACGTTTTACTCTTGCGGGATTAGAAAAAAAAACAATTAAAATTCAGAAAACCATTTGACGAACATGCGCCTGCATCTGATAAATTCTCATCGGGCCTGTACATTTATATGGGGAACGTGGTACAAGGTAAGACCCGTGAGCGATAAGGAAATCGATTACGGTCCGTCTTTTCATACAAACGGGGTGTATGAGTAGGGGGGGGAGAGAGGAGGAGGTCAGTGACAGAGAGGGTTAGGTTGAGCCGTGTCACAAGG